TCTCTCTCTCTCTCTCTCTCTCTCTCTCTCTCTCTCTCTCTCTCTCTCTCTCTCTCTCTCTCTCTCTCTCTCTCTCTCTCTCTCTCTTGCTGTCTAGCTGTCTTGCTCCCCTCCACCCAACCTCTCACTTTGTTTTTTGAGAGGGAGTTTTCCCAGTTTGCTGGCTGAAGTGTGGCAGATGTTATTTGGACATGCAGCTGCCTCACGTACTCTCGACCAAACCTGCTCCTTTTTTGGTGTACGAGGGGTCTGTGGTCCAAGTGACCTTTTGGGCTGCTCCAAAATTTCTGCGGCCACTCTAGCTGTGTCTGAAATACAGCAGTCCACTTGGCACTTGCCACAGATGGGTGAAGGCTGGGGTGCAGGGAGGGAAGATTGAACAGGGGGAGAGGTCGATTGGCCCTGTTTCTTCCTTCTCATTTTCCTTGTCTTCAAGGAATGTTGTGCTGTAGTATTCACGGGCATCAGCTACAGTATTCAAGATCACGGGAGGGATCTTTGTAAATGTTCAAGTGCAATATCCTTACCCAGTTGGTATGGGTTTGCTTGATCAGAGCCGAATCCTTACCTGGCTGGGCGTGGGCAGGTATGGCCAAGGCCACCCATTGACCCATGGGGACCTGTGTGTGTGTGTGTGTGTGTGTGTGTGTGTGTGTGTGTCGATGTATGTGTATACACGCATATGTAAGATGTCCTCATCAAATCATAGACACGATCATCATCACTTGAAATCACGCAGGGGTGACCGAAAGGCTCTAGGCTAGGAAGCTAGATAATGACAATCAACACCAACGAAAGCTTCGTAAAGTACAGCCTAACATCATTCATTTATTTATTTTTCTTCGTTTCCTAGTGATCCTCAGGTTGCAATGCTGCAAGGGAACAGAAAAGAATAGAAGGGCGAGAGAAGGGAGAGAGTGGGGGAGTAAGAAAAGGGAATGAAAAAAATAAATAAATAGAGAAAGAACTGGATGGATAGGAAGAAAAAAGTCAAAAAAGCAAAAACAGTTTAAAACACAAGGAAGAGGGAAAAGAGAAAAAAAAGAAGAGAAAAGAGAAAAAAAAGAAGAGAAAAGAGAAAGAAAATTTACAACATACAATTGAGAGGGACGCAATAGACCAGGACGATTTACGAGGAATAAGGTGGCAAACCACATTTTGAATTATTGGGTCTCCCGGACTTTGATTACTGTATGCAGAATTCACCCCACTTACATACATTCATTATATTCAAGAATGACCGTGTCAAAAAGATCTTTCTGCGAATCATCCTGTTAGATATCTGTTGCTAAGCGAGTGCAAGAACCCAGCGAAACTTAATCAGTCACAAAAGAATCTGCTTACAGTTATTCAGTCTGGAACTTACACTACACTTGGAGTTTCAGAGAAAACAAACCTTCGAAGTATTATCAACACCAGACTATCTACAAAGCATATAATAGTGCATGCCCAAATAACTTATCAGTCGTGACCCGCTGTACAAAGGTATACATAAATCTCTTCTCGGATACGTCTAAACTCTGACCCATGTGCGGGCCGCATACATAGTCACCAATGTTCGCATCGAGTCTGAAAAGCATGCACCACAGATAAGTCACCTTCGTTAGAGCCAATCTTTGATACTACAAACAAGGGGCAGGTAGCCTCGAAACCCAAAAACAATACAGCTGACTATGTAAACAATACAAATAGTCGCTGTGCAAAAAAATACAAGATTAGTCCCAAAGTTGTGATGTCTTAGAGGGAATGTCACATTGTCATTCGCTATCGTACTCTTGCGGAAAAGATCATTCACAACTTTTGCCACGTGTTATAACCATGTCACTCCTCACTATCAAGTGAGGTATCCACCCAACTGCTCCAATACGCCATATGCTTGAACCCGCCTGAAATTGTCCTCTTCCCGATTATATTACAAACTTCCCCTTCTTTACCCTCCGGGCTAGCTCCCACCTCCGCCAAATAAAATCATCTCGCCTAAATCACCCTCAACCTTTCGACTACGTCATTTCCCAATCACGCTGGAATCCCACCCCCGTTTTATTGATTTCTCCTTCAATCGCAAGCGCCTCCCCACTCAAGTGCTGTCAGTCTGTCATCGTTACTTCATCACTCAATCACCGCTCACCACTTCACTTGACATCAGCACATCGGAAATAATCTCCCACTTCCGGCCATCACCCGCCTTTTTCAACCTCGATGATCCTCCATTAGTGTTAAAAATAAATCCTCTATGAACACTCATTCTTCTGAATAATCTTTCATTTGGATGGCAATGTGGCAACATCTTGACTGGTACTCATTCGCACGGAAGTGCCTTATTATGATCACATGCATCACCCAAACAATACATTTTACACACGAGCAATCGAATCCGGCATAACCGAGGTAAGTGAACATACAACACAAGGGGTGGGCTGGTGGGATAGTGGAATTCTAATTATGTCATAATGACTCCAAAGGATAGTTACCCCTCTATTTCGATTCAACAACCATTATTACCACACAGCGGGGAGGCCGAAGATGCAATTAGATCCGACCAGAACCCGGGAATGTGGATGATAATCCCTTAAACACGTTTTTTGCTACGTCGCCACCAACTATAGCTCAGCAGAGGGTGGGAAGCATCTGAACATCCTACTGCAATTCGGATTTATAGGGGCTCATAAAATGTATATATATAGACATCTGCCACCACCGTTAGAGCACTATGGCCTCGAATGGAAGGAGACCACAGCGCCTGATGGCTCTTGCACATTCTTGGGTGCGCGCCTCCAAGTCCGCCCTGACGGCTCCCTGCGTATGAGTGTCTTTGACAAAGCAGCTGAATGGAATTTCCCTGTTATTCGTTATCCTAGTGCTACATCTAACGTCCCTGCACACCAGCTGACGGGAGTGTTTACAGGCAAGCTTACTAGGTTTGAGTATGTCTGCAACAACTGGTATGATTTCAAAACTGCAGCAGCGATTCTCACACGCCGCGTGCTTTTTCGCAGGCACTCTCCAACAATGCTTGCGAAAGAATGGATTTCCTATATTTGTAAACGTCAACACAGGTACCCTGCGCATGTGACCCGCCTCTCCAGCTGGTTCCGCAACATGCTTCGATGGTCCGCCTCACACGCCACTGTCCTCGGACTACACCTGTCACAACCCCTTCTTCATTATTGGCGCTTGTCACACCTATCACAACCTCTTCTTCATTACCTGCGTCTGCCGCACCTGCGTCCTCATCAGTCTTAGTAACCCATTCCATGTCGATTGTGACCCTGGCTGCCCCTTTTCGGTTCGCAACCTCTTCCTCATCGGCCTTGGTTGCTTCTGCGATTGATTCCGCGGGAGCAACTCGACCCGCAGCTGCTGTGTCGCCTTTGGTCTCGGTGTGTTCCTCCATGGCATCTGTGGCCACCGCAGCCGTTGTGTCGCCCTTGGTCTCGGTGTGTTCCTCCATGGCATCCGTGACCACCGCATCTGTTGTGTCGCCCTTGGTCTCGGTGCGTTCCTCCATGGCATCCGTGGCCATGTCTGCATTACCACGTGCAGAGTTCCTTCTTCGGGTCTCACCTACGACTGCCCCCCCTGTCTCTGCTTCAGCCACTTCACCACCCCTGACTTCATCCCCCCCGTCTTCACCGCTTTTATTTCCCCTGGTTTTATCGCCGTCTGTTACTCACCTTCCGACTACTCTACCACCCCTGTCTTCACCGCATCATCATGTTCTGCCCCTGCAGAAAGCCCACTTCGTCCTAGACGCCGACTTCGACCTACTTCCCAACCTCAGCTTACTCCCCTTTCCTCCATCTYTGTTCTTGGACGAAGAAGAACCCGTTCATTCTCCCCACCACGGCCCTCCCCAACATCTCGTCCCCGTCTTTTGCCGCCCCAAGCATCCTTACCACGCCTGCAACGCTTTTCGACTGCAGACCTTTCTGCAACGCGGAAAACACAAAACGGGAGGGATGATGGCGAGGGACCATCTGAGGATGAACTTGGCAAGGGGACTGTAGGATATTCTGTAGAAAATCCGTCGGACCGGCCTCCACCGAATCTGTGTGGCCTCGCTGCTACTAACATCTGCCTACAAGCCTAYCGTCGGGAACCATATACTCACTCTGAATTCTTGGCCATTGCTTCCGATCTTGATGCTCAGGAACGTGAGTTATATGGCGATAACCCGGCTCTGCATCCCCCACGGGATAGTAATTACACTCGACATGGGGGATTCAATGTCTTTGTTTTGGAGACTGCTTTGATAAGGCGCCGGCTTGATATGCAGCGTGCCCCTTCGGGTGGCAACCCGGACCACTATTCGCATGTTTGTGCCTATATTCTACATACTCCTGACCACTACACCGCTCTTGTCCGTGCCTCTGGTTCTTGGGAATTATGGAATGGCGGTAATATGGTGCAAACTATTACTGCCATCTGTGATCTCGTGCGTAATTACCCTAACCTGCCACTACTCCAGGTCATTGACCCTATGGGTACCTCGTGTACTTCCATGCCCGCCTCTACGCCTGTCTCTGTGCCTGCCTCCGTACCCGTCTCTGTGCATGTTTCTATGTCTGTCTCCTTCCAGATTACTGACCCTATAGGTACCTCGTGTACTTCCGTCCTTGCCTCTGCACCTGTCTCTGTGCCTGCCTCCACACCTGTCTCCATGCCCGTTTCTGTGTCTGTCTCCATGCCCGTTTCTGTGTCTGTCTCCATGCCCGTTTCTGTGTCTGTCTCCGTGCCCACCTCCATGTCTGTCATCGTGCCTGCTTTAGTCTTCATTCCCCCGCATGCTGCACTAACACCTTGTGACCTCCTTCTTTGTGAGATCACTGACACAGTTACACTTGGTTGTGGAAAACATCGACTTTGTCGACATCACTACAACCATATAATTGTTCGGGCCCGCTGTCGGCAGGGATGCCACCTGTATCCGGATTGTGAACATCCTCTACATCCAGATGCAGTATGTCCCATCTGTGCGTGCGGGCGCTATAGTGAATGTGCACTTAACTGTGATGGTGAACGCCCCACAATCGTCATGGCCTGCAACAGGCATGCCCTTTGTCGTGCATGCTTCAGAGGTATGGTTAATGCTAGCCGCCATGGCTCCTGCTGTGACGAAGTTGCTTACCTGAATGGTTTTCGTCCTATGGATCAGCGGGAGGGCTGCTACCATCGCCCGCATCCTTATGACAGTTGTCCTATTTGTCGTGAGGGTCTTACTTAGACGTACCTTGCACCTTGACAAAAATGTGCAGGTGCGCTGAAAAGAGTGTACAAGAATGTGCAAAAGTGGAAAACCCTTCACTAAAACTGCAAAATAGTGAAGAATGCTGCCGTAAAAAAAGAATATAAGTCTGTGTCATTTTACTTTGTTTGTACCCTGCACCCTAACACCCATAGGGTCAATGACCTGGAGCAGTTGCAGGTTAGGGTAATTACGCACGAGATCACAGATGGCAGTAATAGTTTGCACCATAGCACCGCCATTCCATATTTCCCAAGAACCAGAGGCACGAACAAGAGCGGTGTAGTGGTCAGGAGTATGTAGAATATAGGCACAAACGCGTGAACAGTGGTCCGGGTCGCCACCCGAAGGGGTAGGCTGCACATCAAGCTGGCGCCTTATCAAAGCAGTCTCCAAAACCGAGACATTGAAGCCCCCATGTCGAGTGTAATTACTATCCTGTGGGGGGTGCAAAGACGGGTTATCGCCATATAACTCACGGTCCTGAGCATCAAGATTGGAAGCAATGGCCAAAAAATCAGAGTGAGTATATGGTTCCCGATGATAGGCTTGTAGGCAAATGTTAGTAGCAACGAGGCCACATAGATTCGGTGGAGGACGGTCAGGGGGATTTTCTACAGAATCTCTTACAGGCCCCTTGCCAAGTTCATCCTCGGACGGTCCCTCGCCATCATCCCTCCTGTTTTGTGTTTGCCGCGTTGCAGAAAGGTCTGCAGTCGAAGAGCGTTGCAGGCATGGTAAGGACGCTTGGGGCGGCAAAAGACGGGGACGAGATGTTGGGGGGGGGCGTGGTGGGGAGAATGAACGGGTTCTTCTTCGTCCAAGAACAGAGATGGAGGAAAGGGGAGTAAGGTGAGGTTGGGAAGTAGTTCGAAACCGACCTCTAGGACGGCGAAGTGGGCTTTCTGCAGGGGAAGAACATGATGACGGAGTCCGTGTGGACGAGGTGGTTTGTGGATTAGGAAGAGGGGTAGCGGATGGAGACAAAACCAGGGGAGGTAGAAGTGGTGAAGACAGCGGCGGTACAGTAGTCGGAAGGTGGGTAACAAACAGAGATAAGACCAGGGGAAGTAAAGGCGGTGAAGATGGGAAGGATGAAGTCAGGGGTGGTGAAGTGGCTGAAGCGAACACAAGGGGGGCAGTCGCAGGTGAGACCCGAAGAGGGGACTCTGCAGGTGGTAATGCAGGCATGGCCACAAATGCCATGGAGGAGCACACCAAGACCGAGGGCAACACAACAGCTGTGGTGGCCACGGATGCCATGGAGGAACACACCGAAACCAAGGGCGACACAGCAGTCGTGGTGACCACGGATGCCATGGATGAACACACCGAGACCAACGGCGACCCAACAGCTACGGGTCGAGTTGCTCTCGCAGAATCAATCGTAGAAGCAACCAAGGCCGATGGGGAAGAGGCTGCGAACCGAAAAGGGGTAGCCAGGGTCACAAATGGCATGGAAGGGGTCATTACGACTGATGAGGACGCAGGTGCAGCAGATGCAGGTAATGAAGAAGAGGTTGTGATAGGTGTGACAGGCGCCGGTAATGAAGAGGGGGCTGTGACAGGCGTAGTCCGAGGACAGTGTGTGGACACCCGAGAAAGCGGGTGATGAATAGACCATCGAAGCATGCTGCGGAACCAGCTGGAGAGGTGGGTCACGTGGGCAGGGTACCTGTGTTGACATTCACGAATATAGGAAGTCCATCCTTTCGCAAGCGTTGTTGGAGAGTGCCCACGAAAAAGCATGCAGCGTGTGAGCATCGCTGCTGCAGTTTTGAAGTCATACCAGTTGTTGCAAACATACTCAAACCTAGTAATCTGGCCTGTAAACACTCCCGCCGGCTGGTGTGCAGGGACATTAGACGTAGCACTAGGATAACGAATAACAGGAAAATTTCATTCAGCTGCTTTGTCAAAGACACTCATACGCAGGGAACCGTCAGGGCGGACTTGGAGATGTGCACCCAAGAATGTGCAAGAGCCATCAGGCGCTGTGGTCTCCTTCCATTCAAGGCCATAATGCTCTGACGGCGGTGGCAGATGTCCCCATGAGAGAACATCATCTATCAAGCGGTATGTGAACGCATACCGTTGAGCTGCGCAAAGATCACGCTGCTGGAGGTCGTCAAGAAACCGAGCCTCATTTCAATACAACGTCAAATTAGCTATCTCCGGACTAGAATTAGTCCCCATCGGGATGCCAATCAGCTGATGTCGCAAGGTGCCGTCCGCTGCATAAAGATACGTGTTTGTGACAATGAAATGGAGATGTTTAAGAATTTGGGAAACGATCAAGGTGTTGCGTCCGGTATCAACCGTCCACTCCCCTTGACGGGGCCCTTTAACAATCATGTTAAGGGTAGGAGGATGTGTGCGCCCCTGTGTGTGCTGTTGTAAGGCATATGTATAGGCTTCCTCAACCGCTTTTGATACATTATGACAAATACGGTCATGAGGAAGATTGGTATACATAGTTGTGAAATCAACAGTGCGAGGAGCATGCTTACGAAGAGAAGATGAATTACGCTTGAGATCAAGCATCACCTCCTCAGCGCTTTGCACGATCCAGCACCGTCTCACACCACTTTGCTAATACAACAGATTATCCTTCTCACGGAGAGTCTCAATGACTCCTTGTAATGCAACGCTGAGGCGGGCAGAAGCGACGGTAGTGCTGGCCAAGGGTTTGTGGGGAGAAAGGTACCCATTATAACATTAAGGGCCGTGTGAGCACTACGTCCCGGTCTGAAGCCATGTGAATAAGTGGAAAAGCGGGGTTCATAAATAGGTTCTAAGATCATTCTAAGAACTTTCGATGGTGGACTGCATGAACAGATGGCGCCATTGATCGAGATCGCTGTGGCAGAGAGAGATTGTTCCGCTTTGTGACGCCGACAATACTGCGAAGCCCAAGGGGCGATTTATGCGGTTTAAGTGCTAGTACAGATACGACAGCGTGTCTGTGTGTGTATATCCCCACCGATGATTCCAAAGCGCGTGGTGTTCGAGAATATCTGCGACAGAGTCAAGAGGCACATCATAGGTAGGGCTGTCCAAATGAGCATACATATTATATAAGGAATCTCAATATCTATACACACATGGGGATAATCAAGGAAGGGTTGTGATCAAGGGTGAAGTAGGGTCACCATTTTTGGAACCTGCTCTGCGTTGTCATCGGTGAACTGTTGGGCAAGATTTCATTGATGTCGTATTGGTAATCCATTGTAGCTTCCTCAATTCCCACCAAGAATGCACTTAGAGTGAAGGATAACGCTGCTCCCGGAGGGATAATGGATAACCTCAAAGAGAGGGAAGGGGAGAGGGAGAGAGAAAGCGGGACTCTGAAAGAAGTGAATGTAAGCTTCAGGCCTACTATCAGAGTGATAGTATGAAGAGGCAGCCGTTGGGGGGAAGAGAGAAAAGGCATGGATTCCGATTGTGGATGTGCGCCGAAGATGGCGGGCGCAACCCACACCCAGGTGGCTATCGCATACACTACCCTGACGTTCATGATTACGGCGAGGCACGATATGAGTAGTCATTGAGGAAGTCGGGAAGCATGAGGGATTTACTATTGTCTCTACTTCATTAAATATAGACCAGATCGCGACAACTTTCATGTTTCCATATAAAAAATGGCAGATGTCTATGAATACAACTGTACATGCCACTATCATTTTCTGGTAGCACCTGATAGAGCACTGGGTCGAATCCTCGATTGTTAATGCAGTAGCATTGAACTTATTTAAATAGTCCCTTCTCAAAGCGTTTAACAGGTAGCCTTCAGAAAGGGTACCTAGTTGAGTTTTTGAATTTAGTACCATTCGACAATATTTCACTCAGATTTTCTTCGACTTTGAGTGCTTTGTTTTTCCCCCTCCAGAGGAACCTCCTCAACCCCTCTTTTTAATGGGGAGGGTACGATTCCGCTGATAACTCCTTCTTTTTGAGGCTACAAGCCTGCGCCGAGTCTCAGTCCTCGAAGTTCTTGAGTGTCACTCCGGGCCTGCGCTTACATGCTGCTGCTGATTGGCTTTGTCGTCAGGCCTTTCCTAACTGCACCGATCTAGTTGACGGCCATGTTGTTTTCGCCAACGACGATCTGATTCCAGATGCTAACCTCCGTCGCCTGTTTTATGAGGGCTCTAAATACCGGCTGAATGGAGTAGTGGGGGATATACTTGAAGCATTGGTTGTTGGTATTGACGAGTATATTGCTGCGTATCTTTGTCCGACAGTACGACATTCCTGCGCAGCTGCCCTAGCTCCACAACTAGCTCTTTGGCGTGCTGCAGTTTTGCATCACTGTGAGTACGATATGGCTGCTGCGTCACCTTTGTGACAGCCTCGCTCCTTGCCACACGCACGTACGGCCCTGCTTCATCTTCAAGAATCCTTTGCGATTGTTCCAGTGGATAAAACATCACATAATCTGGCTATTTGTTGTAAAAACTGGTACGGTTTTAATATTTCTACTCATCTTGATAGTCCTACGTATTCTCAGCCCGTCGAAACAGCGGCCAACATTCTGAATAGCCATGCACTTTGGAACAATCACGGGAATAATCCTCATGCTGACACATTGCCGTATCTTTATTGCGCCCCCATAAATCTCCTCCCACACTCACTGCCTGCAACAATCTTTCTTCTTCTTTTCATACGACCCGACGGAGTGACCTGCGCCCCTCCCAACAAGTCCAGCGTTTGCATCACCGACTGCCTCACAAGCCTGTGGCACCTACATCGGCTCGTTTGAGTGCGACACTTCAAGGCATCATCCGTACTCTTCGCGAAAAAGATAATCAACTCTTCCAATCTGAAGGTATTCGACGATGTTGGATTGTCCAGAGCAGTGACAAGGTCATGCTTGACCTTAAAAAGAATAAAGCTTCTCTCCGAGGACTGGCCCCTCATACGGTTGATTTCACCACTATGTATACTAAACTTTCTCATCAACGGATTCTTAACACTGTTGCTAATGCGGTTGATGAGGCACATGCCTATGCTCTTGCACAGGCACGACAACACACACAGACACGTTCATCCCCCGTTGCTCTTCGTATGGTGGTCTGTGGACCGAGTGCAGGGGAATTGACTACGGATACGAGACCTGTCACTCTTTCTGTGTGTGACATTCTTCAACATCTTCAATTTATTGTTACTAATACATATCTATATACAACGGATGGCCTTGTTCGACACCAAGTAGTTGGTATTCCAATGGGTACAAACGTTGGTCCTGAGATTGCTAACCTCACACTCTATTGGGATGAGGCGCAGTACGTGGACAACCTGCAACGTGTGGATCCCTTTGCAGCCCGCCGATATGTTTTCACTTATCGGTTCATTTATGATGTACTTACCTTTGATTGTTTGCCACCATCGCCAGCCTATTACGGCCTTGAATGGAAAGAGACCACTGCGGCCGATGGCTTGTGCACCTTTTTAGGTGCGAAACTGCAGACACAGGCAGACAGATCTCTCCGATTGAGTGTGTTTGATAAGATTGTTGCATGGGATTTTCCTGTTAAACGATATCCTAGTGCAACGTCGAACATTCCATCTCGTCAGCCTGCAGGTGTGTTCACTGGCCAGCTTACGCGGTTTGAGCAGATCTGTGACAATTGGCATGATTTCAGAACTGCGGCAAGCATGCTTGTCCGCCGATTGCTTTCTCGTGGCCATGCTCTGACAACATTAGCTCGTGGATGAACTTGTTACATTCGGGCTCGCCTGCGTTGACACCCTGTACATGTAACGCGTCTTACACAGTGGTTTCGACGTATGCTTCGCTGGTCCGTGCATCATCCTCTTCCACCTCCTCCCCTCTCCTTCCCCCCTCCTCCTTCCTCTTCCTCCCCCCCTCCTCCCCCTTCCTCTTTTCCATCTTCTCATCCTCCTTCCCCTCCCCCTCCTTGTCC